TCCATGGAGATGTTGTTGCTTTGTCTGGAATGTTTCACAGTACGGCATTAAATCTTTCTATCTGCATGGAGACCAAATCAGATCTGTGGGCTGGGTATCGTTAAGAAGTTGCCGATACGATACATCAATCAGTACTTAGGTCACGATACTATACATTTTTCGATACAGTGAACGTTCAATTCAGTACGATTCAATACGATATATTTCAAATCGATTAGATACGGTTCAATGAAGAATAAAGACTAAAGCTGTGATACTAAAAGTTGACTAAGTTTGTGCAAAGTTAATATGAAAATCACTCATCAAAACAGTGACAATGTCAACACAATTGTACAGTCCCTGACAAAAGTCTTGTCGCTTATCCATTTTGTAGAAACAAAAGCTTATAAACTGACTTTAAATTAATCGATTGGTTTTAGAAATGTCTCATATGAAAGCTAAAACCCTCCCAAATTATGCTCAATATACTAAAATAAATTTGCTTCACTGAAGAAAGATTGATCATTTAATGAACACAGAAAGGTCAGATTTTGGCAAGACAAAAAGTCTTGTGGCCTTGTCATATGATGCACCCAATCCTAGATTACAGCCTCACCTGTGATCAGTTACTGATCAATCAGTTAGTGGGATGTGTATAAAAAGAACCCAGCACACCAGACCTTCACATCAACTGCAACTTGACCTCTGACAACATGCCTAAGATCCACCCTGAGACCAAAGCGTTAATTATCAAGAGGCTGAAGACCAGATCCACTGCTGAGGTGGTGACACCTTCAATGTGTCTCAGCGTCAAGTACAAAGAATAAGAAAAAGATCTGAAATGACTGGAGATGTTTTTGACAAGCCCAGGTCCAGCAGACGCCGCAAGACAACTGCTCGGGAGGACAGTTTGTTGATTGGAAAATCCAAGGCCCCTTTTCCACTGCAGCAGACTCCACCAGGCCTGGTCACCTCAAGTCCCTGTGTCAACCACAACTGGAAATGGCCTCCATGGTCGAATCAGTGCACAGAAACCAGCACTAAACAAAAGGCAATTAAAAAAACCGTGTGGCATTTGCCAAGGCCCACAGCCTGCTAAAAGGATGGACACTGGAAAAGTGGCAGAAGGTGGATTTCTCAGATGAATCCTCGGTTGAATTACATCACAGCCACCGCAAATATTGCAGGAGACCTACTGGAGCCCACATGGATCCAAGATTCACCCAGAAAACAGTTAAGTTTGGTGGTGGAAAAATCATGGTCTGGGGTTCCATCCAGTCTGGGGGTGTGCGAGACATTTGCAGGGTGGAAGGCAAATATCAATAACCTAAAATATCAAGAAGTATTAGCTCCTCTTACATTCCCAACTAGGGATGGGCATGATTAATCGATAATTGATCATTAAGAATTTCTTCGATTACGTTCATTTTAATCGACAAACCGAATGTAGGTTGCTGTGCGTAGTGTGACCAAACAGGTGTGTACATGTAGCTCTTTGCACTCAGAAGGAGCGAGACACAAACAGTGGGTCAGTCTGCAACGCAAATGCGTATTTAACGATGACTTGTACAAGAAATTCCACGCTTTCCGTTGCGTTGGGGACAAGTGTGAGTCCATGTGCACAGTGTATAAAGCAGCACATATGTTTCTGTGTCCAGTGGGAAAAAGTTTTACCAGGTGAGAGTCGCACAATGTGGATGACGAGGCCCCGCCCCCCTCCCCCCGTACGCTGTCCTGGTTTTGACAAACGCAAATCTGGTCACACTAACCTGTATTCACCTGAGTCATGTCTTTTAATCCAACAGAAGTTGAACCGCATCAGCGACACAAGAGCTGGAGTTTTATCTTCGCTTAGTTTCTGCAAATTAGCGATGTGGTTTTAAGTTTCGTTTCTGTGAGAGTTGCGCAAAACTGCGTTAAACACATTATAATCTCAAACGGATTGATGTGGCTCTAGAGTCGTTACGGTTTATATGTCGTAAAGTTGAATTTATTTATGCAGGTTAGTAGTGCAGATAGTAATAATAATGATGATCATTTTAATATAAAAACGTTAATGATTAATCGATAATCGATCGTTAATTCTTCCGACGATCGATTAAGAAAATTTCATCGAATGCCCATCCCTATTCCCAACCATAAAAGGGGTCAAATTTTGCTGCATACTTCTATCTCTATATCAAAGTTTCTCAAGGTGAAGAAGATCAAGGTGCTCCAGGACTGTCCAGCCCAGTCACCAGACATGAACATCATGGAGCAGGTCTGGGGTAGAATGAAAGAGGAAGCATGGAAGACAAAACCAAAGAATCTTGATGAACTCTGGGAGGCATGTAAGACGCTTTCTTTGCTATTCCTGATGACTTCATCAACAAATTGTATGAATCATTGTGGAAACGCATGGATGCGTCCTTCAAGCTCATGGAGTCATACAAGATATTAAATATGGATCTCACAGCACCACTACTTCATTCACTGACGTTATGCAACATATTTTTGTATTTGAAGTAAATTATTTGTTCAATTTTCTGTAGGCGACAAAACTTTTGTCTTGCCAAAATCTGACCTTTCTGTGTTCATTAAATGATCAATCTTTCTTCAGTGAAGCAAATTTATTTTAGTATATTGAGCATAATTTGGGAGGGTTTTAGCTTCATATGAGACATTTCTAAAACCAATCGATTAATTTAAAGTCAGTTTATAAGCTTTTGTTTCTACAAAATGGATAAGTGACAAGACTTTTGTCAGGAACTGTAGCTTTTACACAAAATAATTTAGTAAAATATACTTAAAAATGCTCTTGGAGATATATTGATACAGCAGCCCATGATATCGATACTGTATCATCACATTAATCGATACAATATATCAATATTTCAATAGTTTCACACACCCCTAGTCAGAACACCTGCATTTATGAGCTATAAAACAACTTGCAATTCAATAAACGTAACTTAGAGCTGTTTAATGTCACACTGTAGAACATTCCAGGCAGAGCAATGACGCATCCAGAGAGACGCGTTTAATGGACCCTCCAGAAAAGTTCCAGAGTGCAGCTTCGGTCGCCTCGGCTTTGGAATGAGCTGAGGAGATAAGTCTCGCACCATCAGTATCAGCTTTTATGATAGCACTTCTTAATAGAAATATCGATATATCGTGTCGTTGAATGTGATGATACAGTATCGATATATCACCAAGAGTATTTTCATGTATATTTTACTAAATTATTTTGTATAAAAGCTTCAGTTGTGTTGATATTCTTACCGTTTTGAGTAAAATGTGTGTTTACTTTGGACTTATTGTCAGACTTTTAGTATCAGAGCCATGATTTAGTCTTTGTTTTTCACTGAACTGTATCGAATAGATTTGAAATATATCGCCTCGAATCGAAAGCTCGCGGTATTGAAAAGCATGTCGTATCGTATCGCCAACTTCTTGATACCCAACCCTACTTCTTAAGACTAATTTTTATCGGTTGGCCTTCCTTTAACTGGTTTTAGCTTGATTTTACTCCTTATTTATTTTTATTGTATTTATTTATTATAATTTATTAGATTTTTTGCATTAGAGCAGCATATCATTAAGAAGTTGCCAATACAGTACATACCTCGATACAGTGAGCTTTCGATTTGATACGATATATTTCAAATTGATTCAATACGGTTTAGTAGAAATAAAGTCATGACTGTGAGACTAAAAGTCTTTGTTAAACCACTTCTTGTGCAAAGTTCATATGAACACAAACATTTTACTCATAACAGTGAAAATGTTGCATAAACGAGTTTCCTTCCTATGAAAAAAACAACAAAACTGTAGCTGTAACAAAATTTGTTAGTGAAATATACTAAAAAATACTCTTAATGATATATTGATACATCAGCTCAGGATATCGATACTGTATCATCAAATTAAACAATATGATATATCAATATTTGAATATTTTCACACACCTCTAGTCAGAACGCCTGTTTTTCTAGGTATTTATGAGCTATAAAACCTTACAATTCAATAAATGTTACTGAGAGCTGTTTAAAGTCACACTGTGGAACATTCCAGGCAGAGCAATGACATATCCAGAGAGAAGTGTTTGATGGACCCTCCAGAAAAGTTTGAGTGCAGCTTCGGTCGCCTCGGCTTTGGAATGAGCTGCCTGAGGAGATAAGTCTCGCTCACTTCTTTACCTAGGATTAAACGATACTGTAAATCGCTATTTGTAACAAATATTGATTTACAGTATCGTTTAATGTGATGATACATTATTGATATCATGGGCTGCTGTATCTTTAGGTATATTTTACTAAATTATTTTGTATAAAAGCTACAGTTGTGTTGATATTCTCACTTTTTAAAGTAAAATGGGTGTTTACTTAGGACTTAGTATCAGACTTTTAATATCAAAGCCATGATTTAGCCTTTGTTTACTGAACCGTATCGAATCGATTTGAAATGCATCGTATCAAATAGAAAAGTTCACTGTATTGAAAAGCGTTGATGGACCCTCCAGAAAAGTTCCAGAGTGCAGCTTTAGCGTCTTATCAAATGAAGAATTTAGTAAAATATACCTAAAAATACTCTTGGTAAGATATCGATACAGCAGCCCACAATATCAATACTGTATCATCACATTAAACAATACGATATATCGATATTTCTACATTTCTGCACACCCTTAGTTTGCATCATGGTCTGTTTTTGTGTCTTCTGGATCATATTTTTATGCTTTTTGTATTGTTCTTTGCTCCTTGTACAGCACTTTGTCAACCTCATTTTTAAAAGTGCTTCATAAATAAAGATTTCTTATTATTATTTAGCCTCTTATCGAATGTGCATGTGCATGAATGGTCCATGCGTGGCTGGTGTTTGCAATCTACGACCTGTCAAACAAGTTTAAAAATAGCTCAAACTGGAAAACAGTGACTAAACGGGTGGAGAGTTTAAAGCTTTAAAGCCTCTTCACGGGACAGAACAACGCCAAACAAAGACAGGGATTGAGGCAGAGAGGCATAATTTAAGTTTAAACGCACCTTCCAGCGGGCGCGGCGTGCGTCGGAGAAAGTTTACCCGGGTTCGATCGCCTCCTCCCCGCTGCTGCTGCTGCTGCTGCGTCCTGCGTCTGGGTCGAACTTATCCCATTATTATCAGATGTGGACACGCTTTGTGATTGTTCCTGGGGGTCGTACTCCTCGGACATGCCGGAGGTGGACGGGCTGGAGGGGCTGGAGGGCTGCGCGTCGCCCCGCTCCCGTGCGCTCCCGCTGGGTGTGACTCCCTCCGACGCGCCGCTATTGTCTCTATCGCTTATCCCCGTCACGCCCTGCAACGCCGCTTGGCTTTCGAGCACATCCGATGCCATGGGCTGTCCTTTTTTTTTTTTTTTTTTTTTTGCGTCGCTGCTGTGCCAAACTATTCGGTAAAAACGCGCGGAAGAACCGGTTTGGCGACGATCAGGTCATACTTCCAAGTCAGAACCGCGCGTCGCCGAAACGAGTCGCCGCAGGTTTTCTCGCGCTTCCAAACGTCATAACTTATCAGCTGAGAGTTATTTCTTTAAAAAGCCAGGGCAGGATCGTTTCCAAAGTGCGTCACGGTGGTCCGGAGGTGCGGGGAAAGTTGTGCTAGCGCTGCAGAAGATCGGCTCGGCTCAGTTTCCTTCCTTCCTGAGGCGCCGCCGTCACGCCGCCGTCACGCCGCCGCACGCACTTTTAGCATTAGCCCACTTTTTAGCATCGTCGAAAAAATCAAACCCCGAACACCGTTTAATCGCCGAGTGCTTTACGGACTCGGCGGGGGGAATACGTGTCCGCCGAGTTGGCACGTTTGGACTCTGACTCCCGCACGCTGCAATTGCGCCACAGCCGGAGTTTTTTTCCACAGAAGTAGAAGTTTGTAGTTCTTAAACAAACTCCAGTCTAAAACACGGAGCTTTTTCTTCTTCTACTATCGAATTCCGGCAGGGGATACGCGACGCTGCGCAATGCTGCCCCCCGCCGTCGGTGAAAGACATTACGTTTTCAGATAGAGGCCAGAGCGGAGGAGAAAGTTTTGTAAAAATTAATTCTACTTGATTGCCAGATGAGATTATAGTATATACAGTGTTGGGAAGGTGACTTTTAAAATGTATTCCCCGACAGATTACAGATTATGTACCCCAAAATGTAGTTTGTAATACTGAATACTTTGGATTACTTGATTTGCTGTAGAGAAGCAAACACGAGGAAATCGTAACATAAGATGTTTTATCTGATAAAAGAAAATAAAAAGCCCAGACTTTACTGAACCAAATTAAAAATATTATTGATAGAAGAAGAGACACGTCCACACAGCATGATTTAGTCCTAGTTTAGTTCTGGTTTAGTCCTGGTTTAGATCTAGTTTAGACCTGGTTTAGTCCTGGTTTAGATCTAGTTTAGACCTGGTTTTGACCTGGTTTTAGACCTGGTTTAGTCCTGGTTTAGTCCTGGTTTAGATCTAGTTTAGACCTGGTTTAGTTCTGGTTTTGACCTGGTTTTAGACCTGGTTTAGTCCTGGTTTAGTCCTGGTTTAGATCTAGTTTAGACCTGGTTTAGTCCTGGTTTAGACCTGGTTTTAGACCTGCTTTTAGACCTGGTTTTGTCCTGGTTTAGATGTAGTTTAGACCTTGATTAGACCTGGTTTTAGACCGGTTTAGACCTGGTTTAGTTTCCGGCAATGAGTGGAATTACCGAGAAAAAAAGAAAAAAAAAGAAAAGGGTATTTAGCCCAAAATGTGAAAACAGGAAAATACTGCCGTGTAATTCATTTATTTCATTTATTTATTTATTTATTTCAACAAAGTAGCTGTAATCCAATTACCACTCACTGAAACAGTAACTGTAACTGAATACAGTTACTTATAATTTGTACTCTGATTACATAACTCTGGTACATGTAATCTGTTACTCCCCAACACTGAGTATATCTAGCATTATTATAGTATTATTACCTTGGACAGTCCCAGTTATGAGCCTTGTGTCCCATGTCCTAGCACATTTGTCCCAGTTTTATACAAGAATTGTCCCAGGTGTCTCTATTTTTAACCAATTTGACACCCACCAGCACTAAAAAGAGGCATAAATTGTGGGGTGTAACAATATCCAAGTCTTACGATACGATGTCGTCACGGTATGAACCTCACGATACGATATTTTTTGCGATATCGTAGGAAAGCTCTCGATTAGGAATGTAACAATATCCAAATCTCTCGGTACGATATTTATCACGATATTTTGTGGAGGTTAACAAAACTGTGAATACGTAACATTTTCCTCTTAAAATGCCTTGACAAGACTTAATCCAAAAACTTAAAAGTGTTAGAACTGTTATTTCTTCTTGTAGTCTGCGCTGAAATGGAGCAAAGGATCATGGTCTATGTAGTTCCCTCTGTCTATTGGCTTCACCATAACTCTTAATTTAACCAAAGAGACTTGTAATTCGATATATTGTGATGGTCCACGATATTATTGTGAGAACTCTGACAGTTATTGTTACATCTCTAATAAATTGACATTTGTTTTGGTAAAATACAGAAAAGCTGCTTAAAAATGACCAAAACACAAAGAAAATGTGACATATACTGACTCACATGTTTGTCATGAATGGGCCGAGTGCACAACAGTTTTCTTTTATTACACACTCGATTCATAATTTTATTATTACCAACCAACCCAAACCGAGGATGTCCCAGTATTTTATTTTGAAAATCTGGTCACTCTATGCATGACACTGATGTTTGGCGAAGAGTTTCTAGGCTGCCACAGTTGCAGAGGCCTTTTAATAGACAAGCAGCCAAACCAGTGTCCAAATCTCAACCTGGTTAAAACTGATCCACTGATCCACGGGGCAGTGAGGCTCTGGCGTGGGCTCTGGTGTTCGCGCTGTTTCCGGTGAGCAGCTGGTGCAAATCCACCCAGCGACGGCAGAGGGCGCCAGAGCTCCGCGCCTGCCGTGTCTACAGAAGTGCCCCTGTCCCTAAAATGGGAAAATTTTTATATAGCCTGCATACATATATATTATTTTTACACAGAAAATTCATAAAAAAAATAAAAATAAAAATAAACCATTAAAAAATATAATATATAAAAAATTAAAATTAAATTAAAAATAAAATAAAAAATAAAAATTAAGTAAAGTAAAATAAAATAAAATAAAATGAAATGAAATAAACTTTACTTTACTTTCTCAGGCAACTTTTTCATAACTGAGAAAAGAATTCAGCCTAAGTCTTAGTCTAGAAATGTCCCGAGAATCCATAGGCCTAAGAGTCATGCTTTGGATTTACAACTTTACTACTTTAAAGACACACAAAGACGCTTTAGATCCAAATGAATTGGTGTCTTTCAGATTTTAGACCAGACCTGGGTATTGTCCAGCTACGGAGCCACATACGGTCCTTTCCTTGACACTGACTAACCTGTTTAAGATCATTTGGAATTACAAAATAAACATACTTTATTATTTTAAATTATGCATGGACTAAAGCTGCATTGCTTTTATTTTAGAGGTGCTATTTTTAAATGACATTTTTTGTAAGGCCGCCTCACTTTTTCATTGTTTAATCATAACCAGTGTTGGGAAGGTGACTTTTAAAATATATTCCCTTACAGATTACAGATTACATACACCAAAATGTAGTTTGTAACAGAATCCATTAAATTACTTAAAGTGAGTAATGTAATCTGAATACTTTGGATTACTTGATTTGCTGTAGAGAAGCAACCTGGTTTAGTCCTGGTTTAGTTTTGGTTTAGATCTGGTTTAGTCCTGGTTTAGACCTGGTTTAGTCCTGGTTTAGTTTTGGTTTAGTCCTGGTTTAGTTCTGGTTTAGACCTGGTTTAGTCCTGGTTTAGTTCTGGTTTAGTTCTGGTTTAGACCTGGTTTATTTCTGGTTTAGACCTGGTTTAGTCCTGGTTTAGACCTGGTTTAATCCTGGTTTAGTCCTGGTTTAGTCCTGGTTTATACCTGGTTTAGACCAGGTTTAGTCCTGGTTTAGTTCTGGTTTAGTCCTGGTTTAGTTCTGGTTTAGTCCTGGTTTATACCTGGTTTAGACCAGGTTTAGTCCTGGTTTAGTTCTGGTTTAGACCTGGTTTAATCCTGGTTTAGTCCTGGTTTAGTTCTGGTTTAGTCCTGATCATAACATAAACTCCCCAGTCTGAGCAGCTCATCAGACCAATGATATTTTTTTATAAAGAAATACAATTCATTTTATGCAGATATTTACATTTTCTGTTTCTCATGTGACTCCACGGAAAAAATAATTGTCCAACCGTGATCTGGAATGTGATGATGTCATAATTTCAGATGAGACCAATAGTCACTTTTCCCTTTTCATCACATCACACTTTACCATAAAATCTCCAAAAGTGAAACTCACAGATGTTTAACTGAAAATGTTTAGTATCGTCAAGATCCAAGACCTCGTGTTATTTCACAATATTCATTTTAGCTGCTTTCCCCTGTCTGTGTGAAATCTGAAATCTGATTGGTCTGTAGGATGTTGTCACGTGATCTGAGACGCAGAAAAACCGTGTCGTGTTTTTGTCACTAGAGGGAAGCAAATCTCTGCACAAGAGTTTGACACGAGCCCAAAGAACTGTTCATGTTCATTTTAAGAAGATTAAATCAGCACAAAATCACATTACTATTATTATTATTATTATTATTATTATTATTATTATTATTATTATTATTACTATGTACATTTTATTTATATTATTTATATTATTATTATTATTTTTTTTACTGCGTCAGATGTTGTTTACAGTGATCTAAAATGCAGTTGTAATTATAAAACGTGCACGTATGTAGTGTGCTCGTGAAATGCGCGCTCTCGTGCTTCTGCGGGCGGGTCATTAGCGGATCCTCCGACTATTTCCATATTTCCATATTTCCATATGTGCGGTGGCGGGAAGTGTTTAGGCAACTCCAGTATATCACTAATGAGAAAAGACAAAAAGGAAGGAGCCGTCTGCATCTTTTATGCGCTCTCTTTTCTCTGTTGATGAATAATTATTCATGATTGCAAAGCCTAAAAGGAGGCGAGGCGACGCAACCACAAAGAAAGTGGTGAAAAATTTAAAGAGGAAGTTAAATGAATATTTAAGGGAAGATGAAATATTTAATGGAAACAAATGAGCAAAACATTTAAAGGGCGCGATGAGTGAGAGTTTAAGAGGTCTGATCGTTTGGCTCGGCACACAGCGAAGAAACACAACACGACTCACGCAGAATGAAACGGGCCAATTAAAATATAAAAATACAACAACATAAAAATATATTTCATGAACTTCTCTGACTCTGAACGGTCCAACACTTGAACCTAAACCCACGGCCAAGGTGCACGTTTACAGTGAAAACACAATTCAAATGTAGACACTCGGGATGTAACAATAACCGAAATATCTTGATATCGTATCGTCAAAAGTCTCACAATAATATCGTGGGCAGTCACAATATATCGAATTACAAGTTCCTCTGCTTAAACACATTGTTTTATAGTAGCAACAGCTTATGAACATCGGAAACTACATATCCCATGATTCATTTCAGCGCAGACAACGTGAAGTTATGTTTTTTAATGATGATAATAATGTAAAGATAATAACACACCAAAATCTTGTCACGATATTTTAAAAACAAAAAAAATGTCCCATCTACAATTATATTAGCCTCTCCAAAATATCGCAATAAATATCGTAACGTAAGATGGATATCGTGATAAGATCGTACTGAGAGAATGAGATATCGTTACATCCCTAGTAGACACCAATCTTGTATTATTATTTATTAGTCTATTTTCGTTAATATCGTAATAAATATCATACCGTGAGGTGCATATTGTGATAATATCGTAATATCATATTGTAGTTATTATCGCAATAATATTGTACCATGAGATGCATCTTGTGATAATATC